TTAATTTGCAGGACACGTAAAAAAGTATGTCTCTACAGATACAGATATGGTAAGATAGAGGCGGTGAGGAGAGAAAAGGGAATTGAGGAAGGAGAATAATAAAGGAGAAGGAATCAAATTGTGTGAAACAACCTAAACTAGCCAAGACTTCCTAACTATCCCCATATAGTAGAGGTATTGAGAAGACGTCACATAAACAAAGCAAAAGACCCAGACTAGTGACCAGCCGTGTCAGCATCTGAACCCATGGCCCTCTGATCCACAGGCGAGTGTCTGGCAGCTGCACGACAGTCTGCCTTGAGTGTACGTGTACATGCATGTTTATGTGTGTAAGCAAATAGGTGTTGTGGATCCTGCTTGGGCGTGTGTGTATATATTCCTGTGTGTGTATGCAAACGCGTATGCGTGCATTTAACCATGGGCCTGCATGCTTGTATGTTATGTGGTTGTGTGTGTTTTTACGTGTATGTCTGTATATGTGTGAGTGTTTAGTGCATTCCGACCCCCTCCCCATCAGCCTTCACAAAATCCTAAAGTGCCGCACCAAGCCACTAGTTTTGGTGCAATTGGCATTTATAAGCCAACATAGGTGGCACAAATAAACCAGACCACAATTATAACTGATAATGCTCGCAGTAGATTGAACGTGGCCGATTTTGTGTGTGTTATGTTCTACATAAACGGATAAACAACCAGGAACTTGAGACGTAACCTACAGACGTTGAACAAAGAATAAGAAGATATTACTGGCATCTTCGATAATCGTGCTGCTGGGTTGACACAGCTAGTACAGGAAAATGTCTTCGGAAGTAAAGGTAGCCAACGTGATGTCGACTATATCAACAATCAAGTGCTAATTAATTTATATATAAATATAAACTGGAATCTAGCATCACGTTTCAGATGCTCCAACGGCGTGAGAAAGGACCATTACTTTTATTGAATATACAAACACAAACCCTGCTCATTCCTGGCAACATATGTGGCTGAAGATCAAACATTAACGACCTCCCACACTAGCCAGTAAATACTGAACACAAGTCGTTACTGTCCTCCAAAGGCGGAGCATGTTTAGATATGTGGGTGACAGCCGGAGCCATTCGAACGTACCGCGATCGAAACCTACTGCTGGCTGAGTGGATTTTTATCGTGGTATAGGGCGTCGCAGGTCGACCTAGCCTAAAATGGGTACCAGTATGGCTGTCCTGGGGGAGTAGAGACGGCCGGCGTAATGCTGACCACATTAGCCACCTAGATTCCGAGATTCGCTGATGTGGTTAAAAAAATAGTGCCTCGGGGCTAGGCCTCATGTAAAACGCCGATGCCGTGGTCTGAAAAAGTATAGGCACTCTTCCCATATACCCGATGCGCCTAAAGGCGTGAAAAAGGGCCTTTACTCCAAGCTTAGACAGAATGGGGCGTGTAGGACCGGTAATGACACTTCACATAAAAAGAGAGCTGGCTCACGGACAGAAAGAAATATTGCAAAAAAATAAAGGTAGGGGAAGATAAACTCAGACCGCTTACAGTTTTTTTTTTTTAGTGGTGGGAGGGGGCCTCAAGGTAGCGTAAACCTTATTCACTGGTGTAATAACAATACCGTCTTCATTGGCAGGACATATAATAATATATTTAAAATAATATGAAACGGATAAATAGTTACTGGTTGCTGGCACTTAGCCCCGGACAGATGATATATGAAGATATCAGTAGACCTCTATCCAGGTCAGGACATGAGAACTAGCGGTGATCAGGCTTAGGTTAGTAATGTTTGCTGCACGTGTTTGGGTGTTTAATTCACTACCTACTCCAAGCTAACGGCCAAAGGCTAATATATGGGAGTCGAATGAATCAAAGAAAGAAGATTAACACTACAAATAGAAGATTAAATAGCAGCTTATAATTGATGTGCATCACAAGCCTGATAGATGCATATTGGTCAGGATAATGACACTATCTCATACATTAAATGATGACAATCGGAAAGAACAGAAAATAGCCTATAATGGTAGCTTAATTTACCTTCGTAGATGGGTCGCACCATCTCTTAAAAATGACGGCTTAAGTAAACATGTATTTGAATAAAAGAGAAAAGATGTTTGAAGCACACTTGCTGTCAGTTTTTACACACACACATACACATGCAAACTGTTGTGTGCTATCTGAGTTACACACTAATCAGCACACTACCAAGTGTCCAGCAGGTACAACTTTCGCTCCCTCTCACTCGAAGCAGGACTCGACCACAGTAGTTCCGTCACATAGCATATTTATTCGACAGAAAACAAGAGGGTATACATAAGCCCGCATATCAACAAAACTGCAGAGACGTAGACATTGATCTCAATTGCCATTCGTACATTGTCCATTTAGTCCTCACTCGCTCTCTTTCAAATTGTTTGCGACCTCTCCCTGAACACTACAGCTCCAAAGGTCTACAGCGTCCCTTAACTCTGGGCACGCCGTACAGCTGAACAGGACGAATTCTCCCATCCACTGGACCTTGATATTATTCAGCAGACAACCACGGCTGACTGGAGACGGACTTCCCTGGCCGTTATCCAAAGCACACAGCACGTCAGCTTGTCGAAGGACTCCGATGACCGACAGGACTTCTAACACAAGTCCCCTCTAGCACACAGCTCTCGTCGGCATCCCCCCCCTGTTCTGTTTCCGTAGTGACCCTACGTCTCCTCGCGTCGTCATCCAGAACAGGTACTATTGGAGCATCTCGTCCCCTTGGACTTACTTCGCCAGCGGGACTATACCTTCGACCAGTACCGCAACCTCAACCCTTACTCAGGCCTTGATGCCTCATAGTTGTACGGTATTCTTATCTGTTATACTCGAGAGAGATAATCACTGACCCTGACTTGGTCTCTCTCTATCTCTCTCGCTCTGACTCTTGACTCGGACTGACTACTCAGCCCCAATTTATCCCTGTCGAACTCGTAGGTTACACAAGAGGCACGCTCGTGTGGGTGTTCTCGGGAAACATGCTCATGTGGGTGTTTTTGAGACTCACGCTCAAGGATCACACATATGTGAGTGGCTGATGTTACATGAGAATCACGCTGTCACGTAATCCACCCTTCCTCTGTGGGTCTCGTTATCCATGCTTGTCAACCCCCACACAGTAAACCCACGCGTCTACTTTCTCGTGCGTGCACGCCTCGTTCATGATAATACATTTTCACTGGTCAACACTCTCTCCCCTTCAATACTCGGCCAATGTTGACATTAATTCCCCGTGAACTCACAGAAAGTTCTATCACACCACTCTGTACCTTCACACAATATTACACTCCCCCAAATCAGCACGCAGCAAGATTTGAAGCACACTTGTCAGTTTTTACACACACACATACACATGCAAACACTCCCAAATATACATGATTAGAGCACATATATTGTATGTTGCTGTCTTTGTTTTACAAACAGAGCCAGCCAAATATGTGTACAGACTTTAATAGCCAACAGTTTAATGACATTTAAAGTTAGATCTAACATCATTTATCCATGATAGATTGAATTACGATAGCAATGTTTTGCATGACCTTCTGTCAAAGGATGCCATTACTGATATGTTGCCCACCTAGATGACAACGATCAACAGCTAAGAACAGCGCGTGACGTAGTGGTCGAAATCTAGCTATAATGGTGGTCTTTCCGGCAGAAGTAGAAACGGCATGTGTAGTCATCTCTCTGGAATGTTAACTAACGTTGTGTTATTAACGAATCCCTAGCTGCATTACCCAGTGTCTGGATTCCTATGCATAAGCGCCCGAACGTAGCTGCTTAGGGACCTTGTACATCATACCCTCGCAATTTTTAGCAGAAGATGTGGACGGAGGAAAGTAGAGGCTAATGAAAGTAGATCTCTATATACAACAATAAGAAAGAGACAAACACTGTTCTTTGGCCACATAATGAGAAGAGGGACAGTGGAGAACATCGTGAATACTGGAAAGATCAGTGGGGAAAAGGGGTAGAGGCAGACCAAGAGAGATGATGCTGGATGGGCTAAAACGATGGTATGGAGGGATATCATCAAGAGAGCTGTTCCAGTCAACCAGGGATCGTGATCTGTAGAGACGCATGAGCGCCTACGCCAGTTGGCAGGGCACATGACGATGATGATGTAGAAGTCAAGTGTAACCTGTAGTTATCTCTTGATTTCTGTATACATTATGTATTACATTTTTATGCAGGTTTTTGGCCAACTCTGTAGGCTGGTTTACATTGAACCAGAAACAAAAAATACACAATGCATGCGTCACTCAGTTAATGACAACAGCTGGGGACGGACGTCGTTCAGAGAGATGAGAGGTTCTGGGTTTGACGAACGTCGTTCAGAGAGATGCAAGGTTCTGGGTTTGACGAACGTCGTTCAGAGAGATGCAAGGTTATGGGTTTGACGAACGTCGTTCAGAGAGATGCAAGGTAATGGGTTTGACTGACGTCGTTCAGAGATATCCAAGGTTCTGGGTTTGATTCCATCCATGACATCGAAACGATTACACAGGATAGAACAAAAGGATGAATATTGTGGGAGCCCAATACGAAATATAAACAGCACAGAGAAATTATTGCATGCAATAACGCTAACTAGGACTGCCTCATATTATTATAAAATTCGCTAAAACATTTCCTATAATAACATTATGGTAAAACTTTGTAACATGAAATCAGCAGGCTGCAGAGCGTGAGGTCAGCCACGAAAAAAATGTGTGGAGGGCGTAAAACAGACACTACATAAACGCAAAGTGAATTAATTAAACACAACAACCTAGGCCACTAGCGAGAGACAGAAAACTGCATATGACAGCCATCTGCGACACTTTACCGCATAAACGGTAGGTCCACATAACAAGAAAGAAGATTGACGAATCTTTATCAGCTAAACATATTAAAACATCATGAATTTCTAATCAAACAATGTACATGTATGTATTTCAGCATTTCCAATCCACTGTAAAAGGGCAGACAGTAATACTTACATCATTAACATCGATGAACTCCATTGTAGACTCATGACCATCAAGTTCCACGGAAACAGTCTGTCCGCTCTCCGGGGCATCTGTCTCATCCTCATCTGAAGACAAGAGAATATCACAGTTGATAGAAAGACAATGCATGTTTTCTTCACTGCCAAGTTCTGTATCTTCAGTATGTTTTTATAAACGATCGTCTCACCTAAAATATTCATAACTGGTCAGTTTATAAGCGCTGTTTGGAGATATTTTAAGAACTGCCGCAATGTTTTTGTTCTAGCTCACCGCTATGTTCCATCCAGAGTGTGTTTGGATTGCAGCGAGTCTTTAAATAGGCTTTGAATGGATTTTTTTTCCACTTGTTATGAATTTGCTTCTGCAGCATGATTTATTTTAAACGTATATTACCTTTACTTTGGGTAAACAAGGCAGACCGAGAGAGACCACGCTACGTGGGCAACTCATCGTCTCCACAATAATACTCAGACTTTGTGCTCTGGAGACGACGACATTTATCCCTGGTCTTTAGTGGCTATGAATTCACTGCTTCTCTATAACACTTCTGAAAACACGAAAAGATGTCAATGAAAGTTTTAGACCTGAGTTCTTTGTCCAGGTCTCTATTTTCTCCACTGACCTTTAAAGATGTTAGAAGACTGTGAATGGGGGGGGGGGGGGGGGGGGGGGGGGGTGCTTTACTGACCGTCTAAACCACAGAATCAACGATGAGCATTGGTTCCAAATGGTTCTCATAGTTGGAGACTTGCTGGAGACAGTATTGAACCATGAATAGATTTAGCCACATGTATACAACTGTCTTCGTTCTACTGAATAGCTAAAGAGACTACTGAAGTCATGTAAAGTCGTTGGTGCGGAAAGTCTCTTATTCGAGAACACATGTTGGGAGAAACCTTTGCTTGTAGACGTTTTCAACTCCGGCCCTTCTGCACAATTTCGAAATTTTGGGAAAGGTAATAATGAAACAAAACCCAAGAATACATTTCAAATAATGTAAATGAGAAGGATGAACCTGATTACAATCCTTACACGTCATTGCAACTGTGTGTTTATCAAAACACCCCCCCCCCCGTCTCTCTCTCTCTCTCTCTCTCTCTCTCTCTCTCTCTCTCTCTCTCTCTCTCTCTCTCTCTCTCTCTCTCTCTCTCTGCCTTATTTGTGAAGATACTACCGACCTTAGACCCACCTGAGACAACTACCGCAACTTGGGATGTCCCACCGCTCCAGAGGCGATAGCGCCCATTTTGAGAAACACTGAAGTACGGCAAAAAACAAAACCACATATAGTACGCTCCAAAAGTCCTGCCCAACAAATCTGCCAAAATCTGTAACTCAGTAACCGCTCGGTGTAAGTTGTTGAAATGTTGGCATGGAGCCTGTTAATAGTAATTCCTTGTAAGATATTTTTTAGTGTTAAAAAAAACATGTAATTTCAATTTTGTCTTGTTAGCGATACATGAGAAAGTACACCACCCCCCCCCCCCCCCCAACAATAGACACCCATTCAACGCAAACAATCAGCATGCTTATAGTAATTTGAGTAAACTTTACTCATAAAGGGAACTTTTCAAAACATAAAATTAAAGCGTTTCACTCTCAGGTGGTCATCTGCTTAAGTCTCCCTTAAGGTGCGGATTTTTCATTGAGTGGAAGATAGGCTATCAAAATAATCATCACATGTGAACTGCTTTTCAAACAATCTCCGCATGTGTGTCAGTTACTGTATATTCTATTTTTAAGGGTGTGCAAATCATTAGTCAAACAAACATAAAAGAAATTCGCCGCTTTAAGAAAACAGCAGTACCTGTGCAATTGTAAATTATCAAATCATAAGAAGATGGGAAATCTAAGGCCTCGTGCACAAATTCGTGTTGATTCTTACATGAGTTTTCAGACATTTGTTAAAGTTGTTGTTGTTGTTTGCGTTCACCGGCTATAAACTCCAGTGGAAAGACCTGGTTGTTCATCCATTTCTGGACTTTGGCTTTGTTCCAGGACCTTAGTTTTGTGTGTGCATCTGTTTTACAGATCTGACTTATTTGTATGCAGATTGCTGGTTCCTTGCCTCGCAGGTAGATGCACTCCGACTTCAAAGGAAGCCCCCAGTTAGTCGACTCTTACAACATGCTTTTTGGGGAGGTAGTGGGTCTATTCTTGTTTCCCCTATAATGGGGCCCCGGAACCCACACGCGGGATTTGTTAAAGTGTAACGGCATGAGTTTTGACATGTACTATAGCAATGTAATGGTTGCAAGTGCCTGCTTCTGCCACAATCATTTCAACATATCGATCGTCAAATACTTCCCGCCCGCTCTTTCAACGCCGCCACTGAACACTTTGAAGTACATGATTACCAAACATGACTCCAGTTGAGAGCTAACAGCCGTGAACAGTTTGTTTATTGCTACGTATAAAATTTAAGCCATAACAAAAGGTCATCGTTTGAATGTTTATACATCACACAAACCCTCGTTCAGATGTCAGAATGTGTACGTATTGAAGAGTTTATTCATTAGAGCGCTTGCTTTCCGGCCTGATGGCCAAGGATTTGAATCCAGATAGATGAGATTGGAGCTTTTAAAAACAACCGACCTAATTTGACAGGTCGACTAAGTCTAAGATAAATGACGGACCCTTTCTCCCGCCTTTAGGCGTATAGGGCATATAGGGCTAGACCTATATTTTATAGACCAACGACACAAGATGGGCGATGTGGTCAGCATCACGTCGGCCGCCTCTACTTCCTGGGACTGCACTCGGTACCCACTCAAGGATGGGTTGACTGGGAATCAAGGTCATTTTTGAAGAATAGTCCGGCTCCGCCAGGGAGCGAACCCACGACCTTCCGATCCGCGGCGCGCGTCTAGCCGCTTTGCCACGACGACCCCCTAAGTCTAAGATGGGCACCATTAAATGTTCTGTTAGGCAGGGGCGGACACAAAGAAACGAGGGGGGGGGGGGGGGGGCTCTCAGTATTCTTATAATTGTATACCGGATACCTCAAGAGGTTTTGGCATTGTAAGTGCACTAAAATATTTTTATTTTGCGCTGTATGGCAAAAATTTAAAATATTCTGAAACAACATGAACCGTAACAAGTACTGAAAAATAAAATGTCTTCTGTACACGGTTAGACAGACCACTAAACCACTGTAAATTATTTGCAAACAACTACTGGGTAACTACCGGACGTAAATTTGCCTAGTAAAACCACACAACAGCCAGGGGCTGTTAGGGTTGGTTCTGCAACGTCCTGTAAAGGATACGCAAGTAACCTACTGGGCGCTCTCTTCCCCGTAAAAACACACACGCACACATTTACACACACGAACACACACACACACTGGTGAAGAAGAACCTCATAGTCCCAAGAATTTGGCGTCTTCACCGGGAAGTAAAGGCTACAGGTTTTAACTATGTGGATCACTTTACCCGTCGATTATCTGTTTGATTACGAATATGGTGTTGGTCCCATATACCCAATAGTCACATGACCTGGAAACAGGTCGCTGACATAACTTCACGGGGTCACTTACATCAGGGTTGGGGAATGTTCGTCCTTCGGGTCCAATAAACCCGCGAAATCATCTTGATTGCTACTACAAAGGGGAATGCAACAAAATGGTTGACCAAACATAGCAGAATCATGATGAAATCGATATACAAGTGTATGGACTGCGAAAAATGTTATAAATATAAAAGATGATCCTTCGCTGAACTGAGGTTCGCCCCATCTGGCTTACGTGTTCTTAATCTGCGTGTGCAGTAAGTCCTTTTAACTCTTTCAGTCCTTGGGATGTATTTACCAAGCGTCTTCCTAAGCAGTTGCTGCTTACAGTAATAACTATTTGGAACTGAATGTAATAGGGTGATTGCAGTAAAGTTATGAAAGGCTAAAAGGGATTGGAAAAGACAGGTAAAAAAAATAAATAAACTAAAAGAACTAAAAAAAAAAAAAAACGTTTTATGTGCATTGGGTTTTGTCTCTAGTCTCCGTTGTTATGATGAAGACTAATAACACAACGTTCCTTGTTTGTTAACCATAAATAGTTCTGTACAGCTGACATACATGTCATGTTTTCCCTATCTGTTTTAAATCTGAAGAGATTATAATAACACTATCGTACAACAAGAAATAAAGTAACAATTGGTTTAAACTGACTTCCTTATACAACTGTGTAATGGGGTGAATTCCCAGGGAAATCCCAGAGAGTTCCCAGTTAAGGGGGACAAGGTCAATTGGCCAGGGAAACAAAAGAAAAGTGAGGAAAGCATGTCTCGATTGTCCCGTGTTGTTTGAACAGACCACGGCCAGCTCCAGATTTTTATCTGGCCGTGGAACAGACGTACGGGAAAAGCATGAGACGGGAACAGAAGGTTTGGACAGAGAAAGGATAGGAAATCAGTTGTGTTTTTCCCCGTGTGGGTTCCGGTGCCTTGTTATAGGGAAAACAAAAATAGACCCACTGCCTACCCAAAAAGCATGTTGTAAGAGTCGATTAATTGGGAGCTTCCTTCGAAGTCGGAGTGCATCTGCCTGACAGGCAAGGAACCAGCAGTCTGCACACAAATGAGTCAGATTTGTAAAACGGATATCACGCCACACTCAGGTTCTGGAACAGGACTGCAGTCCAGAAGTGGATGAACAACCAGAACTTTCCGCCAGAGTTTACAGCTGGTGACCGCAAAGAAGAAGATGTTGTGTTTTGACCCCGTGAGAGGAAGGTTGCTTGATGGTACGAGTGAGGCGAATGTCATTGTGAAACTGGAGGATCAGCGTTTGTAAAGCTAGAGTGCCTGAGGAGAACTGAATCTACGTGACAATGTGTAGTGTGATGTGAACATTTGTGTTAGGATGATTAAGATGCCATTATCCATTCGACTATCCCCCGAATAAGGCCCCAATTTATCGAGGCCGAAAAAATACACTAACAGGGCCTCAGTCATATGTAAATTGCGGACCTCTTTCCGGCGACTGCACCGCATACTGCGGAAAAGCTTCCGCCTAGTTAAAGTCACCGCCGAGAGTTTCTCTGGCGCCGCTACGCGCGGCGCGTAGCTAAACTAGATGGCTGGGACTCACG